AGTCATTTATATTGCTTCAAAGGTTTTTCTTTGCTGGGTTACGAAACTATGAGTGTCGGGCCAATTGTTTAAGACCTTTGACTGGAATCGTATGGTTTGTTGTGGAAGTTCACAGTAATTTAGCTTAATTGGGTGATGAAGCTTTTTATGCCCGCCAAGTGTTCGACGAATTGCTCCAATATTGGCTTGGCTTTTTTCTTCTTCTTCTTAATATTGTTTGGCGTCTTATTAGCTGATTCCTTCTTTATATCTCATTTGGTTTACCTCAAGAGTTTATCTCCGAATTCACAAAGCTTATGTCTTTTATTTCAGCCTTTTCCATGTATCTGTGAATATCATTTCTAATTGCTATATAATCTCTATTTCAAATTTTTATACATTCATCTGATGCTGATTCCATGCACTTTTGCAGGCTGTCGTGAGCAAATGTTGTGATAAAAAGGCTTTCTTTCTTGTTAGCAAGCACACACAAGTTACATGGCGGCATCAGTTTCAACCCGATTCCTTGTTCTACTCAAAGATTTTTCAGCCTTCAGAAAGATATCATGGCGTTCTGCTGCCACTAATTACCCCTGCCAATCACGTTTTTTATGCCATGTTGCGAAAGAAGATGGGTCTCTTACTCTAGCAAGTCTTGACTTGGGGAATAAGCCAAGGAAATTGGGGAAGAGTAAGGCGACAAAGCTTGAGGGAAGTTTTGTTACTGAAATGGGTCAAGGTAAGGTAAGAGCGATAAAGAACGATAAAATGAAAGTAGTGAAGGAAAAGAAACCAGCTGAGATAGTGTCACCTTTGTTTTCTGCAAAATCCTTTGAGGAACTTGGCCTCCCAGATTCATTGTTAGACAGCTTGGAAAGGGAAGGTTTCAATGTCCCAACAGATGTCCAATCCGCTGCTGTCCCGGCAATAATTAAAGGTCACGATGCAGTGATTCAGTCTTACACAGGATCTGGCAAAACCTTAGCTTATCTACTTCCAATATTATCCGAAATTGGTCCACTAGCAGGAATATCTAAAAGCTCCCACGGTGAAAGCGAGAAGAGGACAGAGATTCAGGCAATGATCGTAGCTCCATCAAGAGAACTCGGTATGCAGATAGTAAGAGAGGTTGAGAAACTGCTCGGGCCGGATCACCGTAGAATGGTTCAGCAGTTGGTAGGAGGTGCAAACCGAATGAGGCAAGAAGAGGCGCTTAAGAAAAATAAGCCCGCAATTGTTGTTGGTACTCCCGGGAGAATTGCAGAGATAAGCAAAGGTGGAAAATTGCACACTCATGGTTGTAGATTCTTGGTGCTAGACGAAGTCGATGAGCTTTTATCGTTTAATTTTCGAGAAGATATCCATCGGATACTTGAACATGTAGGAAGGAGATCCGGGGCTGGTCCAAAAGGGGAAATCGATGAACATGCTAACCGACAGACAATTCTAGTCTCTGCAACTGTGCCATTCTCTGTTATTCGAGCAGCTAAAAGCTGGAGTCATGAGCCGCTACTTGTCCAAGCCAACAAAATCACTCCTCTTGATACAGTTCAACCACCTGCACCAGTAATTAGCTTAACTCCCACAACTTCTGAGGCTAATGGCCAGATTCAGAATACTATTCAGAGCCTACCTCCAGCTCTAAAACACTATTACTGCATCTCAAAACATCAACACAAAGTCGACGCGTTAAGGAGATGTGTTCACGCCCTTGATGCCCAATCAGTTATAGCTTTCATGAACCACTCAAAGCAGCTCAAAGACGTGGTCTACAAACTCGAAGCTCGTGGTATGAGTTCAGCTGAGCTGCACGGAGATCTCGGGAAGCTAGGGAGATCAACGGTACTAAAGAAGTTCAAGAACGGGGAAGTTAGGGTACTCGTGACTAACGAGCTCTCGGCTCGGGGTCTTGATGTTGCTGAATGTGATCTAGTGGTGAATCTTGAACTTCCAACGGATGCGGTTCACTATGCACATCGAGCTGGGAGAACTGGGAGGCTGGGAAGGAAAGGGACAGTGGTTACAGTGTGTGAGGAATCACAAGTGTTTATAGTTAAGAAAATGGAGAAGCAGCTTGGTTTGCCTTTCTTGTATTGTGAGTTTGTTGATGGAGAGCTTGTTGTCACTGAGGAAGACAAAGCTATTATAAGGTAGAGCTCTAAATAATGTATTTTTCTCTCCTTACTCTACTTATCAGATATATGTACTTTTTTATAACTAATTAAATTCAGAATTTTGTCTCGTTTTTATAATTAAGTTTATAACTAATCTCTATACATTTAAGAGAATGTCCAAAATTGATTTCAATATTACTCAAATTGCCATTGTTTTATAATTAAATTGATTAAATTGAAAAAGGTAATTTTGAACAAATGCAATGGCAATTTTAGTAATTTTGAGTACAATTTCGGTTATTTTTATGTTACAAATTGATTGCATTTTCGTTTTTATTTTTAAGGCACATTAATGGCATTTTTGTTATTTTAGGAAAATTTTATAAAATCAGCATTAATTCACAAAAATTTAATTACCAATCAAAATTTTTTTTAAAATATTTAATATCCCTTTATATCAACATATAATCAATTTTAAGAATTAGATCCCCCATTCGTCTTTGCTTGATGATATTTTTTATATACAAATTAAATAATAAGATAATTTATATGATAAAAAAACATAAA